TAGCCCCACTAGCCACGTTTTAGCTCTTAACTGCCCGAAAAAGGGAACCATCGGTAGCCTTACCAATAGTGATTGTTGTTGGTACTTGCTGACCTTGAAGGACTTCGGAGTGCAAGCTTCCCTTGCGAGAAATAATTTACTGGGCCTGGTATAGCGAGAAATGAGGAAATTTTTAAAACTCAGCTTGGCTTGGTTGGACTGAGTGGTGAGTTACAGTTTCAGTAAATTATTTCTCGGGGGAAGGGAGGGTGGAGGGATCACGAGGGAACGGTTTTGTTCGAGTTTTTTAAGCTCAGCATGAAATTTGATGCTGAGGAGAAGTTAGCAAACCTGAACGCGGTACCTAGAACCTCGCCTAGACAAAAAACTCGGTACCACGACTTTCTAAGCCTCTTACCCGAACACAGAAACTCATAAAAACGAATGCATATTGCGCAGATGAGCCGAGCCGAGTTTTAATAATTGCCGAGAATGGAATCTACAACTATTGGGCTAAAACCGTTAAACCCATTTCGCCAAAAGAAACCCGGTAGTTTTAGAATTTTTAGTGGTATTGGTGCGAGAACCTTGTTTATGTTTTTCAAGATTTTTTGGAATTATATGCTTATTTCATGTAAAAAATCCTGAATAAAACGTTACCTGTACTGATGAGGCATATTCATACGCATTAGGAGTACACTCGAAACAAAGTACATACCCTACAAAAATACAACAGACTAATCACACTTATTTTGATGGATGTAAAAGAAAAATCTCGATTCTATAATAATATGGATTTCACCAAAACAACGGTTTCTTGAACGAGCCTACTCAAGAATATCCTTGCAAAATTTCATAAATAATTGCCATAAAACATTGTGCTGTTGGAATGCTAATCCAAATTACTGTTTGAGCTGTTTAGATTCTAACTTCAACATTCCATTCGCTCTTTCATATTCCGATCTGATCGTACAAATTGTCTTCAATTAGACGTATTATTTGTCCATTTCAAAGAATATCAAGCCACGCAATTCAACTTTTAGTTCTGGCTAAGTGGTTGAAAAGAAATAATTTTATAAATTTTCACTCGTTCACCACAGCTAGTAATCATATACGGGTTTCCAAAAACACCGAATTTTCAGTGTACTGGTACTTGAGGTTACAAAAAATATATAATTCTGCTGCTGAAAAAAAGATGAAAAATACATGGTACCAGGATACTTACCATAATTTGAGCGAGGATAAGAACGATAAGATTCGATGATTTGCTGCTCGAGATCATGTAGAAAAATTTGGTTAGCGTTATCAGAAGGCCACGTATCGAAGTGACTGCAATAACACCCACCAAAAGAAACGATATATGTTGGGACCAAAATCGAACCTGCCAAAAGAGGAGCCATCATTTTTACATTCAAAAAATAAAAATATCTTGCATTTTGAGTTAAATTCGGGGCCAGCTGCTTGAATCTAGGAAAAGAAATGTATGAGGGAACGTTTACAGCAAAAAAAAACTTTCCCCTCCCCCTTCCGCCCCGCTGCCCCCCGAGAAAAAATCGACTAAGATTCACTTGCCGATATAAATTTCCAACCAATTTAACAAAACTATAGTTATAGTTTTTGATGCAAAACAGAAAAAGCCTCATCCTCCTTTCGTCCTTCTTTCGCCCTGGGTATTTTGCTTTACGGCTTTACTTATGTTAAAAAAAATCAAAAGAAAAGCAGAAAAGCCATACATCAAGTTGAAAGCCCATGTAATTGACGGCTATTTCGATTCCTCTGGTTACCGGGTCCACTTTGCCCACTCGATCGAATACAATATTCACGGTACAAATGAAAATTTTCCACATACAATAAAGTGAGAAGAAATGGCCCAAAACATTGAAATATTGACCTTCCCAAGTTTTACTATAGTCGATACGCTCCTGCAAAAATATATTTATGAAAGACAAGAAAAGCTGCGGTTTTTTTTTTTTGGCGTTTTCAATTAACGCAGCTTTGATAAGCTGAAAACTAATGGGAGTGAATATGTATTAAATAATCCATAATTTAGGTAAAGAACCAAAAATCCTGACGCATAATACATTTGATTTCTCTCGAAAACATGGATGCAGAAAAATCTGAAATTTTCGAAAAAAATGAAAATTTTTCATTTTGATTTGTTTTGAATTTAAACTTTTGGATAGGGATTCATTTTGATTTAATATAAAAATCTTTTAAAATATGGATTAATGGTGAAGTAAGAGCCGTTCTAAGTATCCAGAAATATTCGAATAGGCACAAATACTTATATAAAACGAATTAATCCAGTTAGCACCCCACAGCCGAATATCAAGAGCGAAGAATGATGCGATGACGAGACAAAAAGCTGATCAAAGTATTAAAAATCAGCGTAAAATTAGATTTTATCATATTCAAATCTCTTCAAATTTGACAGACCCACAGCAATTTTTTATCAAAATTTTTCTTATTTTTTTAAAAAAAAAGATGAAAATGAACCCGCATATTTCGCAGTTCGACGACTTCCAGGAACAGATAACGACTGAGTTCCTCCAATGGGACTATTTCGGATTTTAGTGTGCTGAAAATTTTACTTTCCTTACGGAAGAAAAAATGATTGAAATCATGTTTTTATAAATTCATGAAAGACAAAATTGGTAAAACAATCCAGCTGTCCAATCACCACTCACTGGCAAAGCTGTAAGAATAATTTAATAAAAAACTAGCAGTAATTTCGAATAAATACGAAACAAAATTAAGTGGGAATGGAGAAATTGCTTGAGGGGAAGCTTAATTTGCTTTGATTTGAAAAAAATAAAAAAAAACGAAAAAAAGTAAAATTCACAGCAGTAACAATAATTCATACCTTATTTGATCTTTTACAGTGAATGATGACGATGATACTGAGCCCCAAAGTCTATGCAAAAGACCCCCTTGACTATCGGTACCTAAAAATACAACACTTTTGTGATGTTACGGAACATAGACGGATCCATGGGTCTTTCACTCCCTCCCCACCCTACTCCCCGCAGCAATTCAGGCACCAGTGCTGGAAAAGTCCGGGTCTAAAGCTAAAACTAAAGTAAACTAAAGCCTAAAGTAATTCTAAAGTAAAGTAACTCTAAGTAGCAGTGTTGTTACAATGTATGCGACTTGATGGACCGAAACATTCCCATTCAGATTATAATATTAAGCCGTTTGTAGCATCCATGTTGATGGGTGCCAAAGTAAGGGAAGTATATATAAAGAGGGGAAAATAGTAGGAGAAAAATAGTAAGAAAACTTATTCACATTTCCTTTTTTAGTTCCTTACATTTTACATAAACATATACCAAGTAAAATTAAAATTAAATTATACCAACTCCGTTCCTAGTTGTTGCATAGTTCTAGGGTGGGCAGGGGCCCTTTTCCCCACTCCCAATCGCTCCCCTCCCCCCTTCCCCCAGAAGCCCCGCTCCTCCTCCCCTTCCCCCGTCTCCGCTCGTCGCCCTTCCCCCTCCCCCGCCCCGTCCCCCCAAGAGTCCATCCTGGATCCGCCCACGGTATGAAAAAAGTAAAAAAACCCCCAATTATTGCCTGGGTTACCTCGTGTAAAAGCACTTAGCGCTTCCTCCTTTTCCAGCAAACACAGCCGCCGTTTCTTCGCCACAATCATCTCCATCGTATGCATCAGCTTACGCTCCATCTGTGTTATTTGTTCCTGTCCAACCGGCCGCATAAATATCGTCATGTAACAGTACGGTGCATTCACGGCACCAAATCCCGAAAGCACAGCCATCACTGTAACACCAATTACGCCAACACGTGAAATTGCCTGCTCAATTGTGAATATTCCTGAAAGAGTGACAATAAAAAAGTAACCAAGCATGCCTGGCAATCTACGAACTCATACTGATTTGTCTAAAAAAACTATGGCAATTCTGGAAGTATTTTTAAAACGTCGAAAGGTGCAGTGAGAAATTTTAGAAATGCAAAAAAATTTAACGCGCCCATACATGGGAATCACGCATACCTGGGCGCTGACTTCGAACTCGTGAAGTTATATGTGGACGGGGAACATTCCCTTGAAATATCGGCTTTCTAGCTTTCTTGGCTCCCGAGTTACCAGCTTGCCGGTCAAAAACTTTCACGGGCCCGTACTTGAGGACCACGTGGGTAATACAGCTCATTTTGGAGATGGGGGAGGGGGGTGGGTGGGGGAGTGCATGTGCATACGGATTAAGTTCTCAAAATTTCATTAAAGGATAAAGAGAAGAAAAAATGAAGGGAAGAAAACGAAGAGAAAGCGAAGTAAGAAGGAGGAAGGGAGCTACGGAAATACTTGTAATAGGTAAGAAATGTTTCGGTCCATTAAGTCGTATACATTTCTTACCTTTACCACAACTGGACCTTTTCCTTGTAGCTTTTGTGAGTCTCGAGATGAGAAATCGGTACAGACGCACATACAGATATATAAATACACACACAGACACCTCTCGACAATATGAGTTTTTGCACTGCATAAATGCAAAAAACGCATTAAAAAAAATGTGGACGTCAGGATCGCCAGCAGGCTGACCATTAAGCAATGGTCAAGAAAACTAGAAAAGTTGTCAGCTGCTCAACAGGAGGACTAGGCTATCAATTAACACCCGTTCCAGGTACCCCATAAACAAAATAGGCACAGAACAGAGACAACAGATGGGCAAGGTGTACTGTTGGACAATACTTACGTTATGTTAAATTGACGCTTCGACCACTGAGATAGAAGGGTCAACCCGGACGACTATACTAAATTTACCTGAATAAAGAGTTGCCGTCAATTACGAAAAAGAGCCAATTTAGGATACCTCCACAATGGGGGTAAAAAAGAATCCATTTGCAGCGAAGCAAATTTGGGCAGGGCGAAGGGGGTTTAGCCAACAACTTCGTTTCCTTGTTACTCGCTCCTTCTAATTTGACTTACTAACCATGCTTGGCACTTAGAATTGGAAATGGATCACCGATTTTCCAGAAAAAATATATAAATATAATCCAAGAGAGTAGAGTTAACGGCAGCAACCACTTCCTTCGCACTGAAAATGCACAGTTTTTAGCACACAGCTCAGTGAAAACCAACACTTATACTTCAAAGTGAGATGTTAACCTCCCTCCCCTCTCCCTTCGCATTCATTCTTGATGAAAGGCGGATGCTACCAGATGTAGCCCGAGTGATAGCAAACGCCAATAGCCAGCACCTGCTGAAAAGAATATTGGTTACTTGGTCACTTTTATTTTCAAAAAAAAAAAAAATTAAAAATTGTAATTCTTTCCCATTTTCTCTTTTTTCCTTTTTCTTTCTTTCCTTACATTACTTTTTCTTTCAATTTCAGGCAAGTTGATGGCGCTGCACTCTTTTAGTATTTATCAGATTTTATCAGCAACTCTAATTCATGCCACAGATGTTGCAAAACGAAGAAGGAGCGAGTAGCAAGGAAACGAAGTTGGTGGCTAAAACTCCTTCGCCCTGACCAGTTGCCCTTCGGTTCCCTGTGATATGCAAATGTTCCGCCTCTTGACTCAAGTTCTCCTCTTCGTGATATTATAAAGTAGTGTTTTTGTGTTCTAAGTGTCCGGTAGCAGTTTGCAGCTGCTGCAGGGTAATTCCGGGGTTTGTCTTCCTTGATTTTTTTTTGCGGCTACACTGATAAAGAGGTGTTTTGTTGGAGCGCTTTTCCGCCCAGGCCCATTCTTCTCCTCCTAATTGTTACACAAAACCGGCAATCTTTCGACGGTCGTTCCGGCCGAAACTGTTGCTGCGTCCTCTTATGCTTGTTCATAATTCATATCACCGGTAGGAGTGTGTGAGGAATTTTTCGTACAAAATCCAATATTACAAAGTAGAATTTACTAAACCAGTAATTCCAAGCGACATCGACAAAAACCTCTTCCAAATATTTGTAAAAAGGGCGAGCGGCAAAAAAAAAAAGAACTTACAAAATGCGATTGATATGAACACGGAATAGGAAAAATAAATAGGTAATATAACGATCAGGACGAAGAGAATCGAATAAAGGCCCAATTTCCAATGCAAAAAACGTGAACTGCAATTCCAATTAATAGCAAGATTTTCGAAAAATAAATTTTTTTCCGCATTTTTTCAAAACAGAAATTTTTTTCCGCAATTTTTCGAAAGTAAACGAATCACTTTTATAAAAGACATGGACTGGAACGGAATCGAACCGCTCAAATTTTCGTTATCTCTGATCCTTCGGATCGTGAAGTATTAATCGTTATACCAATCTACATCTAACAATTCTAGTTTTTATGTCTGTATATTTTACATATCTGTGCTCCAAGCCAGGTCTGGTGTGAAGGACAAGCAAGAAGAGTTGGCCTGAACATGTGGCACGGATGACAGATAACAGATGGACGAAGCGGATAATAGAATGGCAGCCGCGCAAGGTTAAGGCGAACACTGGCGAGGCCAGCACTGAGGTGGAGAGACTCCATGGTACACCTGTACGGTACCACGTGGACTCGGAGAGCGCAACAACGAGAAGAATGGAGAAATTGCCAGCTGCATCGATGGCGCGACAAAGAATGTCGACGAAATAGAGTTGCTTAAATATTCAACTGAGTAAATATCTGTATATTTGACAGCTACAATACAAAAATTCTACTGTTTCTAGTTGCTGCTACTATAAGCACTTTACACGGTTTCCAATTTTTAACGACTTTTTGCAAGTATTAATAATACGGAAAAACTTCAGCATCAGGCTTTTTAAGCCCTAAAAGCTGAGCAGTGAGAAAAGCGCTAATTACTGATGAGTACAAGACTGAATAGTTTCCCCCCGCCCCTTTCCCCAAATTTATTCTAATTCCGTAGATTTATCATCAGCAAATTTCAAGCTTACCTTGGTTCCAGAAAGCCAATAATTTCGAAAATGATCAGCTCGAACATGGTACATGAAAGA